GCTCTCCTTGCGATTGTCATCACCTGTGCACAGCATACAGAATCCATACCAGACTGGAGTGGGTTCGAGTCTCAGCTCTGCCCTCACCAGCCATGTGACTTAGGGCAAGATCCTCTACTTCTGTGTGCCCGTTTCATCATCTGAAGAATGGGAATGGTGACTCCAGCCTTCAGGCTGGATGGTCCAAGCTGAGTAAGCACGGACACGACCCAGCACAGAGATGCTGAGAACACAAGTCCCTCCCGTTTTGTTGTTCTCACGCAACGTTCAATGGCCATGTCTTCAACGGCCTTAGCGCTGCACAGGGAAGGACAGAGAGAGCCCAGGGGCCAGGGAGCCAGAATCAGGGGCTGGTCAGGTACCACTGCTTTCTCTGCACAGACTCAGCTACCCTGAGAAGGAGGGGTGAGGTCAGGGGTGCAAACTGGGGGGTCCATTTCCCTCCAGGCCACTGCCCTCCCCACCCAGCCTGGACAGCTCAGAACCCCGCAACACAGGCAGGCAGTACAGACAGTAACCTGTGAAACCAGACCCTCACCCACCCCTTGCTGAGAACAGACTCTGGGCTCCGCATCTGTAGGAAATGGACACCCCGTGAGTCCCTGAGCCCCTCCCTGCCCCATCCACACGCAGCGCCCACGAAGCCTGTGCTCAGTTTCTGCAGCATGCCTCCCTCACCCCTGGGCCCCTGCTGGCTTAATGCGTTTGTGCATAAACACAAACCCTAGTGCATAAACACAAACCCTATGGTTTAAGGCACAACCGAGGCAATCTTGAAATTCTCAATTATTTTATCTTTAAACTTACGGATGGGAAGCAAAGTCTGAAAGGACAACAGAGCAGGAAAGATATGCACAGCATCGGCCATTCCTGGCTGTTCCCACTCACATATACGGTCCGCAGCGCCCCGGGATCACAGAATTCCCACAGACACAACAGGTGGGAGGTAGCAGGACAGGAGGTGAACACAAAGAATGTTGCATCCACTACTGGGCACTCGAGGGTGCTGACAGCTTTTCTTAGAACCAGAACTCACTTCCAATGCAAAGAGGAGGCGATGGTGTTCTAGGAAGCACACAGATGAGGGCCACTGTCACATCGCTCCTGCCAGAGTGACCTCCCTGCTTCTGAGGAAGAAGAGCTCATTCCAGTTCCTGCTAGAATGGCTTCATGGACGCTGAATTCCAAACCTCAACCCTCCCAGGAGATACCAAAAGGAGTGCGGGCCACGTGGGGGGCACCAAACCCCAGACCTGGAATAGGGACCCTTCTGTCCCTCTCCCCGTGCTGGGCTTTGCAAGAATCTCTACATAAACTGTGTGGATTTCAACAATAAATATTGATTACTATTTCCTCTAGTCCTGTATGCTTTTGTAAAGGAAGGTGCATATTGGGGTCTTTCATTCCCTGTAGGGGAAGTGGAAAGGGGATGATTCCATTCCCAACACAGCGTATGCTGAGAAATCCCCCTAACCCTCCATGTCCTGGGACTTTTGCATGAGCCCTTGCCAAGGGAGCAGAGTTCGCAGTAATGCCAGCAGAGAAACTGCCCTGGAACCTAGTGGGAGGAGAAACCACCCAGTGCCAGGTGATTCCTGCCTCCATTTCCCCCGGAACTGACGTAGAATTCCCCCTGGGAGGCTGAGCAGTTCAAGGTGAGGAGAGGCCTGTCTGTTCCTTCTTCCTCCCCTTCAGCAACAAACCCCATTCCCAGGGTGGCCACCAGCCTCCAAGAAGGGCTCCCAAACCCACATCCTGTCAGCCAGACCTGGTGCAGTTCCCCCTTCAGCGAACAGGGCTGAGCTGTACTGAGAAAATGGCAGCGTACAATGCCCACGGTGACTTCAGCCTTGCCCTCAAGACCTCACACAATCTCAGGTCACCTCGTGTGCAGGAGCTAGGCCTTGAACCCCCGCCCAAGTGTCATCTGCGTAGCAGCCATCATCCTCATTGTGAAGAGAAGGCTCAGAGGAAGGGCTGACATTGGCGGGAGTCTGAGTCTCCGTGCCCTGGTGGACAGCCAAGAAGTGCTTAGCTGAGGCCAAGGTCCTCCTCCTGCGACAACGGGCTGGCCTCTGCACCTGCCGGCTTCCCAGCCCCTCCCCTGACACTGGGATTGCCAAGGACGGGCAGGTCGATAGTCCTTGGCCCACAGGACGTCAGCAGCTGAGACTACAGGGCAGTGTGGCAGTGGCCTCCACCACACACCGCTCCACCACAGCTATGGCCGGCGCCACCTGCTTTCTGCTCTGCTTGTCTGCCACCCAGGTAAGGATGCTGCCGGATTACTCAGGGACCAGAGATGGGCAGGTGAGGGCGTCACTCACCAGGATGGTGAGAACACCCTCAACTACAGGGGTGGGGACAAGCCGAACCAGGGCCCGAGCAACACATGATGGCCAGCCAGTCTGAAATGGAATAAATGTGTATTTGCTCCCGGGACTCTGCCTTGTCTGGCCGCAGGTCTGGCCCCGGTCCTGTGAGCCCAGCCGGAATCAGCCTCTGAACCAAGGTAGAGAACTACCCTGAGGAAGGAGTGTCCCCTTCAGGGGCTGTCTTCAAAGACCAGACTGCTTGGAGCACCTGGCAGCTCAGTCAGTTAAGCATCCGACTCTTGATCTCAGCTCAGGTCTTGATCTCAGGGTGGGCAGTTCAAGCCCCGCACCGCACTCTATACTGGGTGTGCAGCCCACTTACAAAAACAGTAGTTCAAACTGCTCAAAGTTTGAAAGTACTAAAACTAAAAAGTACTAAAGGCAGTTTTTTTTTTTTATATTTTTTTAAAGATTTTATTTATTTATTTATTTATTTATTTGACAGAGAGATCACAAGTAGGCAGAGAGAGAGAGGGAAGCAGGCTCTCCACTGAGCAGAGAGCCCGATGCGGGGCTCGATCCCAAGACGCTGAGATCATAACCTGAGCTGAAGGCAGAGGCTTAACCCATTGAGCCACCCAGGCGCCCCAATATTTTTTTTAATGTAAGAGGCTGTTAATCTCCAAACCCAGAGAAAAATCCTGCACCATTTTGGTACACGCACTTTAATACCTCACTTCGCAAGCTCTCATACTTAATGGCAACTCTCCTGGGGCGTTTTTCTGATAATATCCAGTTGTTATGTTTCTAACACTTAAGAAAATCCAGAAAATAAAAAGCACCCAGTATGATAACTCTATTAGTCTGGGGGAACATACATTAATACAGCCCACTAAAGCCTTCCGTCCTTTGCACACAGACAACCATGCACACTTCGGCGCTGCGCATTTTCCCTGGAAAGCAGCCGAGCCCCTTCCTCTCTCACAGGCCTCTTTCCCTTGACGAAGTGTCTTGAGCGCCTTCCTTACAGTCTTCACCGTTACATCATGAGCAGGACTGGGCTGTGGCTGAACCAATCCCCTGCTGCTGGACACAAAAGGTGTTTCCAGAAAGTGTTTGTAGACCCGTTTTGGGGCCCGGCTTTGGTATAGATTAAAACACACACTGCATTCAGGGCTCAAACAAGTTCTCCGGTCTCTGGGATTTAGGGAGAAGACATTCACGCCACCTCACCCTTCCCATGATGTCACAGGGCACCCCCTCTCAGCCTTCCCCCAGAGAGGAAGGTGATGGGAAACCCTGGAGGCCATGATGGAGGTGGAGGCCTTTGTTTTCTGGGGAGGGGGCAGAGAAGAACAGGACAATGCTGACATCTGGGCCGTCCACAGGCCCTATCCCAAAGCCTGTCCCCTGTGCCCTTAACCTACTTCCCATCGGCTTGGCAGCTCTTTGCCCATGGGACGCCTTCCAGTAAGGGGACGCCCAAGATACCGCAGAAGCTGGGGCTGTTGCTGGAAGGTCTGCACGCCAACAAGACTCTCCAGCAGGTCAGTGTGGTGTTTACAAGGGCCGGCTTCATTGCACTGGACTGTTCTAGGGCCCCTCACCTCCTGTCCTTCTAGGGTAACCCCTCTGGACACCACACGAAGGTGCTGACGTTCCCTCGTGCCCACTTTGGTCCCAGGAGGCAAAAGAGAGACTGGGTTGTCCCTCCCATTTCCATCCCAGAGAATGACAGAGGCCCGTACCCCAAAGCGGTGGCTCAGGTAGTGCAAAGGGAGAGCTCTGGTTTTGTTCTGGGGTTCCCTATGGAGAGGGGTTGGCACTGGTCTGGGGTCCTTCTTGGCTCTTCTGCTTCTGTGTTGTCTTCAGGTCAAATCGAACAAGAACAAGGAAATCCAGGTTTTCTATAGCATCACGGGCAGGGGCGCTGACGAGCCTCCGCGTGGCGTGTTCATCATGGACAGAGAAACAGGGTGGCTCAAGGTCACGGGGCCCCTGGACAGAGAGCAGGAATCCCACTATGTTGTGAGTGTCTTCTACGTGGCCTCAGGAGCGGGGAGCTGGCGGCAAGGCAGCCCTCTCATTCTCTAGGTGTTTCAGACAGCCCGTGGATTTCTGAAGTTACGCCTGAGACCATATTTGAGCCCCTGTTACATTCCAGGTGCAGGAGAGTGAAGAGCGGGGAGGCAGGCAGAGCAGGGGAAGGAATCAGGGACTTAAAGTAAAGAATGAGTTCTGTTGTAGTCTGGGTGTGGTCGTGACCCCCTCAGCCTCCCTGTGCTGTTGGGTTAGCATGCGTGAAGCCCTTTGAACGGTATCTAGTTCTGGGTGAGTTCTCAGCACCTGTTAGCTGAGCACCCTTTAAACACAGCTCTCTGGGGTGTTCGGTCCAGAAGACTCTCCACCACACCCCTCGGAGGGAAACCGAGACTCAAAGCCTCAGGTTGCTCTCCTCTCGAGGACACTGCCCTCTTTGGGGGTCCGAGCAAGTTCCCAGGCAGGTCCCCCTTCTGCGCCTGGGAAGGGAGGGTGGGCACAGGCCGCAGAAGTCAAATGCCGAATCCTCGTGGTCCCACCCAGCTGCATGGGAGGCCCAGCTGAGGCACCTTCGGTGGGAAAGGGAGAGGGTAGGTGGGATGATGGCTGGCACTGTGTCCTGAGCATCGCCGGGAGAAAAACCCGAGGAGACACAGACGCAGACTTTCGGGGCATCCCCGGGGCTGGAGTGCGAGCTGCTTTCCCAGACTTGTGAGCACTGAAATGCGAGATGAAGGTAGAAAGGGGGCTGTCGCTGCAATGGGCCTTCTGTGGGACAGGTGCCCACTGGCCAGGGTGGCTCCCACATGCCTCTGCTGCACCTCTATTGTTTTCCAGCTGTTCCTTCATGCTGTGTCTTCGACTGGGAATGCTGTGGAGGACCCGATGGAAACTGTGATCACAGTGAGAGACCAGAATGACAACAGGCCGGAATTCACCCAGGCGGTCTTTGAGGGGTCCGTGATGGAAGGAGCCTACCCAGGTTAATTGGAACAATGCAGGGTTTTGGTGACGCACGGCAATAATAACAGGAAAAATGTAAAGAACCTGGGAAATCAAAGTACCAACAGCCCAGGGCACCTTCCCGGTGACCTGCACCCCGGGTTCCCGTGCAGGAAGGGCCCCACTTGGAGATTAGAACAGACAGATCAAGGACTGCCCAGACTTTTGAGGGAGGGGGGTGATGTTCAAGCAACAGAGATGCTCTCAGGCTTCCTCAAGAGAGCTGGACCTGGGGAGGGCTACAGGCGGAGAGCATCCTACGAGGAGGGGCCAACAAGGGCCATAGAGCAAGAAGGTCCTGGGCCCAGAAGTCCCAGAGATGCCCAGTGGTCACCTCACTTCTGTCTCTATGTCCTGTCTGCCTTTGCTGGTTCAGCATCTCTCTAACTACTGCCTGGACAGAGCTCCCCTTACCCTGTGGCCCTTCTCATCTCACAGTCCCCTCTACACCCCCTTTCTGTGTCAGTTTCCACTTCTCCCTGAGGACTGTCCCACATATTTCCCAACCTGTGGTCTTGCAAACAAGAACCTGACTTGATCCAGGGGACACTCTGGTTCCAGCTGGCTCTTACTGTCCACTGAGGAGTTAGACCTCCAGACATGACTGTAGGCGATGCCAACAGCCCCTGTGCCCACAGCTTCCAACCTGACATTGTGGTAATGTTGAGGTCCTCATTCTCTGGGACTATAGATAAATGAAACCAAAAGTCACAGGTATTTCACGTGAAAGGGCATTGTGATGGATGCTTTCTTCTCCCTCCCAGCCCACCAGTAGCTGCCACTAAAGCTTTCTTCCTCTTTTCCCCCTTTCTTTTCTATCTTGGTGCTGCCTTGTCCTCCAACAAACCCCAGCTCACCCGCCAGCACCAGCTGCCCCCAATCACCCACGTGAGGTACACATGTGTTTCAGGGTACCGTAGTAGACCACACTCGGGCAACGAGGATGCACCTTTGCCCACCCCTCATGCTTCTCTCCATCTGCCTCGTGTGCTTGGCTCCAGCTCCGGCCGTGAGGCCAATGTCCAAACAGGAGGGACTCCCTGACAATGACTGGGGAGGAGGGAGGACAGGGAGGCAGGAGAAGAGCTGCAAAGATGAGATAGGAAACAGCCCCTCCCCCCCCTCAAGCACTTGACAGAATGGCAGCACCTGAGGGACAAGGGTCCCACAATGACAGCCATGTCAGAAAACACCCGAAAGAGAGGCGAACCAGGAAACACACTCTTCACTCAAGAGAACAGCCAGAGGGTCACCAGAGAGGAGGAAGGCTGGGGGCTGGGGAACCCGGTGATGGGGAGGAAGGAGTGCGTGTGTCCTGATGAGCATCAGGTGAGGGAGGGAGTGAGGAATCACTATCTCGTAAACTTGAAACTAATCTTACGCCATATGTTAACCAACTGGAATTTAAATTAAAACTTAAATGAAATTTAAAAATTGTTCAAAAGACGCCCTGGAGCGCCTGGCTGCCTCAGCCCATGGAGCAAAGCAGCTCTCACCCTCGGGCCTTGAGGTCATGAGGTCGAGCCCCACATTGGGTGTAGACATTATGTAAAAAAAAATAAATAAATGTTTAAAAACAAAAATAATAAATACAACAATTTTTAAAGATGCCCTAAGGACTTATGGAAAAGGTAAACAAATCACCTGGAATTTATTATAATAATTTGGTGAATTATTTGAAC